GGTGCACAGGCTGCACAGTTTTTCAGTAAGCCTGGGTAAGAGGACAAAGTGTACACAGCCTGATTTATGCTGCCATGAAGACAAACACTCAAGGCTCTAGACGCTCAAAAGATTTGATTCCAAAGAACAGACTTTAAGTCTTGAATTGAAATTTAATTCTGTCACGAAAAGGTGCTGTTGCTCTTGTATGCCTCTAATCTGGGGTATGGTTTAAGTATACTATTGAAGCATTATGTTCTTTTAAAAGTAAACTCTACAAATAAGATGCTCTATCACTGATTTTCAAATGTTTTTAGTGATTTTCTATTTCTCACATTTTTAAGGTCTTTGAATTACCTCTGAAACACCAAAAGTAAAATTAGAGTTCAAATTATTTCAAGTGGATATGAACACATTGAGGCCTTTAGATCTTAAATATTGAATATAGTATGGTCATTCCTGTAAATCACAAGGTTGGATTTGTTATGTTATAGAGACTAAACATTATGCTACTATTGAAATATTTCAATGTAAGGAAATTGTTTTACAGCCCTAGTGTCTGATACAGAAATACCTGATTATAAAACCTTATTATGTATTTACTGCAATATACAGTAAAATATACATGCACACACATCTTCTCTGTTAAAATGTACACTGTTAAAACTAACACATTTGATTTGCCTCAGTTTTTGCTTTTGTTTTTTCAACAGAAGCCCATTGGGTTAATGTATGGTAATCTATCATTTATAAACTACCTTGTTAGTACACTTTGCAGGCTGCTGCTTTGTAAAACAATACAGGATCCTGCTGAGTATATCAGCAGATTCTGAAAAGAGGCTGTTCAAAAGAGTATGAGACTTAATAGGGGCTGTTTCCTCAGCGACCACCTTCCCTACCTGCTGTCCCCAGCCGCTCCCTAGAAACTTGGCGGCAGATGTTGTTGCGTTAAGTTGGCTCTGAAGTGCCTCTCTTGCTCCCTCATCTCCCCAACAACACAGTCAAACTACATTAGATCCCTTTATTTGTGCCTCAGGCAAGTTAGGGTGTGCAGCTGTGTCCACCCCCGTTCTACCTTTGGTGTTGAAGCCCCTCAGGCAGCAAATGTGAGACCAAAACTGTTCTGCCGCTCTAAACTACATCTGCTGACAATCCAGCAGTCTCGCTGCAGGCTGGTGGGGACCCTGGGTCTCTGCTCAGAACAGATGTCTACGACAACCTGCTTCCTTACACCTGTATGAGTTCTTGTAACCTTACAGATTCTGCACTGAAAAATTCATGACCCTTGAGGGTTTCTGTCCGTCATCAAAGGCCCTCTTTCCGACCGTGTGTGGCTCTCAAACTGGGCCACCCTGCATCAGCTGCTGGCACTGAAAAGACTCTTCCAGCTTTGATTCTTCATGCCTGAACTTCAATTACTTGATCAAGGACTTGAAAGTCTGCGGTTGAGTTCTCTCCTAAATGAAGTAAGCCTGCCCTTTGGGTCCAAAAATGCATTTCCCTGACCACGCTGTCAGTAGCTCCTGCTCTCCTGATTAAACACACTGACATACAGTATCTCCATGTGCAGTTAAGATCACTTTGTTTCACTTTTTCTAGAAGCAAATCATTCACACAAGTATGTATTCCCATACAGCAGATAAAACCAACAGAACAGAACAAAAATAATAAAATTCATATTTTAAATAAACTGTTTTGCATAGTCATTGCAGTAAAAAACTATTTTGATATTAATAAACCATAAAATAACAATCATCCATTCAACACAAGATTTAAAAATAACTAAATTAAAGGGTGGTCAGAAGTGCTCATGCTCCTGTAATAAAAATGTACTGTACATCTTTTACTGTTTTAATACAGTCTGCTCGTTTTGCTATTTATTTTCAATATATCGAGAATTTTTCATTACTTGTAGAGATTTAATTGTCCAACATTTTATTTTAATGAGTTTGAAATGAGAAATGAAGATGTACTGTACTTTGTATGTAAAAGCAGAATTACACAAAGGTTTAAGAACTACTACATACTGTATCTCTTGAAATGCAATTAATATAAATAAGGTCATGTTTATTTTCTTCCTACACATGTATTTTCTATTTCAGATATGCTGTGCTACTATATGTGCTAATGCCTAACACAAGGAAATTAATCATGAAATATATTTTTAAAGCACACTTGTGTTATAAAAAGAAGTGAGGAAACAAAAGCAAATTCAAATATGCAGAGGAAAAAAAAAAACAGGAAGTCTAACTGCATAGGCCAGGCTATGCAAGGAAAATTTATGTGTCTGCCTCTCCATCTTTGTTTGAAGATAAAGCATTTACCTAGTTTATTCCAGGCAAGGTCAACAGTAAATTAAAACCAAGGCAATTCAGTACATGCCCATCTGGACAGTAAGTTTCCCAAGAAACTCAGGTAAGGAACATTAAAATATGCATGCCTTATTAAAATGTTTCCATTATATATTCACAAAGAGATGCACCTGTGGAAAACCCCCTATAAGACATATAACCTATGATTAGGGAAGTTATTTGAACTAGGTGAGATATTATTTGGATAGAAGTCGCTAGCTGACTTTCTAAGTCTCTAAGTGGCTGGCAATTGGCTGAGCACCACTCCTGAAGCCTTCCAGGCTCTAGCAGGTTTGTGATGCAATCAGTGAAGAGTGCACCTCTTCTTTCATTTCTTATTCAGTTCCAGTACTGAACTGTGTAGCCTGCGGTTTGTTAAAAGACAAGTGGCTGGAAGATATGTGGGCTGTAGGAGTCTGCATGCACTCCTGTGAGAGGCTGCATGCTTTAGTGCCACGACCCAAGCTGAAAAACACACAACTGACAATACCAGACAAAAATAATTGATTATTCTAATTTACTTAATAAAAAGCTGTAATTTGAGGATGACTACCTTCTTTAGTAATCTCTTTTTAACATTAAAATACTGTACAAATGTGGACCTATTGTAAACAACATTCTTTAGGGTGTAAAAACAGATATTGTACTATATATAGAACAGAAGGAAAATATTAATTTGTTTTTAATCATACCGGTTTTTACATAAAAATTTAAATATGAACATTAAAACATATAATATTTTAGAATTTGTACATCCATATCATTTTATCAATGTTACTTTGGAACTTTAAAGTCAAGTCTGATCTGAGTTGAACCTGGAAATATTCCAAGAACAGTACTAGGTTATTACTCTTTCATTACAAATGGTCTGATATTACATTGCTCTTGGTTTCTAGTTTGGCAGATAAAAGACACAATTAGAGGTTATATGCCTTGCTATATTTGTTTCAGTTGTTCACATGTAATATATACTGTTTCATATTAAGTCTTTGTAAACAAATCGAAATCAATGTAATAACTGAATTTTAAATTAATTAATGGAATGTAATGATATAAATGCAGGAGAAACACAATATCTTATCTACTGTACCAAAACTAAAATCTAAAAAACATAAATTACCTTAATTTATAAGAATAAGGTATACTACATAGGTATAAGAATAAGAAAAACTACAGTATTATATTACAGAAAAGGATTATAGGAAATAACAATATTCTCCTTTATTAATGTACAATGAATACTAAACCTTTAACAGCAAGCAAAATCAATCAGCTCCACAATTTTATTAAATAATTAAAACGGCTTGATGTTCATAAAAAAATTAAAATACTCTAGTGATTTTAACAATATTGAACCTGCAGTGGATAAATGTAAATACTAACCAAACACAGAAAATAATAAAATCTGTATTGTGTGTAAGACTGATCTGAAGAACACATTTTTCATTAAATGTTTTTCTATGGAATTTGTATTGTTTTTTGAGATATAAAAATAGTTATTACTCTCAGGGAAAGTGGCATTAATGATAAAAGAGACTGAATACAAGGTTTCAGACAAATCTGAAGAACACCCAGCATTTAGCAAAAGCAAATTTAAACTTTGTGCGCTCTTCAACATCTTACAGTATTGATTAGCCTTATGTAAGTTCCTTTCTTTAAACTATAACCTTTGTACCAAACATATACTTAATACTAACAATGCAATGAATTATTTTATTATTTGCTCAATATTCAGAATGGATTAATTAACCTTATTTTACTATGCCCTGAATTTATTTCAGTGGGAGAATACATTTGGAAGCCAAAGCTTTACCATGTTATTTCCAGAATGACATTGCAGAAGGCTGTATTAATATGGGGAAGGTTTGTTGTAAATTAGATTCTACTCACATTTCAACTCAGAGATTTCAGCACATCATGAAAGGAACTCTTTTGTTTTAAACAGTACCGCACACTTTGCAATGTGTGGTTTTATTTATTCCTATAATGCTAATAAGGATGCATTGAAACTTTTGTCAAGTTTAAAAAAAACTGCCAAGACCTGAAAATATGATATCCTGTACCATAATAGGACATGCCTGTTGCATCCTAGAAAATATTCTCTGGCTGGAAGTCACATGATCATATAAGGTATTTCAAATATATACACAACAATAATTCCGGGAAATTTGCCACTGCAGTCAAAATATCTTTTACTCCTCTGATAACAATCATTATATTAAAACTAATCATGAATGCGGGCCAGCTAAAATGTTTCTTGTGTTTTAACAGGCTCACCTGATCATGTTATAACTGATTTCTTGGGTGATAAAGTTATACTTTACCCCCTCTCCCGAAGAGCACGTTACTATCAGGACAGCAGTTTGTTTTTATACAATTATGTAATTACATTAGTGGAAAAATATTGAAGGTAGTACTTACAATACGTTAACTAGTTTAATATTCTGAAAGCCATAATTTCTTATGCACTGTTTAATTTCTTAGTGTCAACTATCAATGAGGTAACATGCTGTACTTGTGGTTGTTGTATTTGCATTTGAGCTATTAAAAAATGAAATTAAACTCTTTAAACCTTTTATGTTTTACAGTGGCCCACAATTTTCATTACCTTGTAATAAATAAGTGCTATTTTGGTTTGTGTTATACCGCAAACTATTTTTTCAGTCTTACCTCATCTTCTGGCTGTGGTCTCATGAGGGAAACTCTGTCATACTGTTGTCGTAGCAAAGCCCAGAGAGCATCCAGGCGACCCTGAACACATAACCAAGTTACAAGCAGTACAACAGTGTAAGAACACATTCTAGAAACCAGGAAAACTGAAATGGAATGAAATTAGGTGAGATGTTTTAGTAGCAGAATAAAAATTTAAACTGGTTAATAAAGAAAATGTTGTTACAGGATCCTTCTATATTGAAGACTAATTCAACACTTTCAAGTTAACATATTAAAAATCTGCTTTAAAGTGTCTGGCTGTCAACCACAGAGAGGATTTATCCTCACAATTTAATATGAACTAAATGAATGAATCCTTTCCTGGAATCTAAGAATCGGATTTCTTAAATATCCTTTTTCCTGGTATCCAAAAGAAATGTGGGTAATTGTAATAATAATCACTTTCCTTTTTCTAAAAATTCCTTATATATGAGTCACGCCACACTTTAGTAATCAATATCAAATATAATTTAACAACATTCTGTAATTGTAATTAAAGCTTAAACAGCTCTCTGTAGTTGCATTTAAAGTAAAAAGTTCACTTTTTCAATTCAAAGCGGAAAAATAAAAGAAATACATTTCATAGTATTTTAGTATATGACATTTTCACATGATGAAGGGGGTGTAGCATAATCTTTTTTTTGACAGTTAAAAAGGTACTGTAAGAAAATTCAACTAATAGTTTTAAATCTACATTTAGATTATTTTAAATCATGCATGCTTAAAAAATAGGTGTCTATTAAAGAATTTCATGATTCACTTTATCCATGGAGTCCTCACCTTAATTGGGGTATACCACTTTGATTCAGGGGGATGGTACACAGGAGGTGGTCTAGAAGGTTTTTTCATCATTGGCTCTTCAACTTCCTCTAGTACATGAATTTTAGCATTTTTTGCTTTCTCTAATCTTGCTCCCTCTTCAGTAGATCCTTTTTCACCCCAGCGCACCTGTATTGATAACCATAAGATGTTATACAAAAAATGAAATCTATTGTATTCACTAAAGGTGATCAAACAACAAAGAGAACAGCAAAGAAGTGCGCAGTACCAATGCAAATGCTTCAGCAATAGCCTGCACCCTTTTAATAAATCTCTTAGGATGGGCAGTGACAGATGAAGAGATGCCGTCTGGTGGGAGGTGGATGTTAAGACACTCTGTCTAAGACAAAGCCTTTCTTTCCTTGTGTAAGCTCCCATTGCACCATATTTTACACATTAGGATATAATTTAAAACCCAGCATTTCTGTGTCCCAACCATCCTGGTCTGGGGATATAAATTTGAAATATATTCCGCAATTTCACTCCAACTGATCTGTTAGTTAACTGAGATACCAAACAAAATACTTAGTATATGTAACAGCAATTTTACATTTTCACACTATGTGTGTTACAGAATCTAGAGTTAGCATCAAATGGAGGTCTAATGCAGCTCTCACTGATGGCAATACAACATCATAGGCAAGGACAAGCCTATTGTGCAGCACATCAGGCACTGTCTGGATGACCCAAGTCAGTCAGTCCCGACAGCCAACTTTGCTTTGAAGCTTGGGTAGTCACTGCCAGCTAAATGTATATCTCAGACTTGAGCCAGTCATGTCTACATCATAGGACTAATCTATGTGTTCCAGATTAACAACATTATTGGCTACTCTTGTTATTTTTAGCAGGCGGTTTTTACCACTTTAGAAGAACAGTTAAAATGAATAAAACACTCCTAATGTTACTAATTCTACATGCACTGTAGTACACATTGTGAATTTTATGTAAATGGAGTGAAGGCCTGATCTTCATTATAAAATTATAATTGCCCAAACATGCTGAGGGAACTCCTGAGTGCAGCTTCACTGTTTGTTACAACAGAAGAACTGAAATCCGCTATGCAGACGCAATGTAATGCAGCATTAAAGTAAAGAATTTAATTTCAATACTCGTTGGAAAAGTTGAGTTTATCATTTCCTCCAGTCTCAAAATCCTTGTGATGCCTCTTCTTCTCAGTTTGGAAAGCACATAGTAACAAAAAAGATGGCATGTAACATTTTATTTACTCGATTCTCTTTGAGTCTGGCAGCCAGCAGAACTGGCTGAACAAAGGACTGACATGTACAAACCCGGAAGATGAATTCATTAATCTGACAGCAGCACTCAATCTCTCATACTCATGATGACTTTAGATATTCAGAGTTAATAGCAGACAAGATAACTTAACCTGTCACGTCAAAGTCATCAAAGCCTTTTGAGAACAGTGTCTTACGATATTCAACAAGATTTTGTTAGGACAGAAATACATTCAGCATGAACTCTGATGTCACCTAATTCTTTTCAGTGGCTATTATTATAAAAGATCAAGTGACCATTTTTGTTTTGTTTTTTATCTTAAACAGCACAAAGCAGTATGTATTCTGGTTCAAATTAACTAGTTTACAGTACTATATCATGACATGTATACAGATGCAAAGGCATATCCCTTTATGCACTGCTAATTTATTTTATTGAATCTTTGGGAGATAATGAAACCAATCTGACAGCATTAATGAAAAACAAATTGCTTGTTTCACTTTTTCGGCTTATAACTCTTTAAAGATATTTAGAACATGACTTTTTGTCTTGGAAGCTCTATAACTTTTATCACAAATTCAATTTTATTTTGTCATTAAATTGTAAAGACATTGACAGTGTAAGTAAAAAGTTAAATTGAAGGGATTAACCTCCATTCTTTTTATGCCACCAGCCCCTCTTCCTCCATAATACGAAGCATCCACAGTAGGCCACTTCTTCTTAGGCATAGGATCCTCTTCTGGTTCCTACAATTAAAAATAAACATATAATAGGGTGTTGACATTTGTGAGGGTTCCATGCAAAATGCTGTTGCAAATAGCCACAATTGCATATAACAAGGTCCACCTCTGTACCACTGCATGTCCTACAGTATATAGTATGAAAGGTTAAAAGACATAAGTAACCCTCCTTTCTATTATAATTAAAATTAATTAATCAGTTAATTAAAACAAAATTTCTCAACTACAACAATAATTATCTATAATTATGAATGTATAGTAATCAGGTAAAATAAACAACATGAATCCCTCCTCCAGTCCAGCTGATGCCAGCACTTTCTCTCTCTGACTCACTGATTAGCACAGAGTACTGTAATAAAAAAGAGCAATAAAAATGTCAGTGAACCTGTAAAGTTGGCTCCAGCCTGTCATTTTCCATGGGGCAGACACAAAACAGGGAGTGTTTAATACAAAAACATGACCAAACTAGGTAGAGCAGCAGGAGGCAAGGGTAGACTCACTTATTAGCTAGATTCATCTCACTATCTTAGTCTGTGGCGCAGTTTATTTACAGTAAAAATTGAATTTAACAACTTTTGGCTCGGTTTCATGCGTTCCACTCTTCTTCCATCCAAGACCTCATCGGCCAAAGCTAATCCCAAATAAGAAAATTCCCACATTTTAAATACACAGATGTTGAGATCTTACTGTACATGCACACATTATACAGATGCAGCCATTCAAAATGCACGGGCGATACCGCATAATTTTCCGGTGCGCTGTACGCAGTCTACCGCGAGTTACCGATAAATACCACTAGTTACCGTAAATTCTCCTATAATACCGCAAGCAAAATAATAGTATCCGGAATTTCCGCAAGGTGGAGCTAATTAAGCTCAACCTCTCATGTGTGGGCTGTCACCATCAAAGTCTTTAACGAAGATATTACTAATAGTATTAATAATGTATGACCTTGGACAAAGTGTAAACTCAAAGTATTGCCCTGGTCCACATTCTTTTTTTCATTGACCGTCTTTGTAAAAGTAACACCACAGCATTTCGCAATCACGCATTTGTTTCCAATCATGCAAAGTACAATAATTTTTGAGAATCGATTCACCGTGCCTTTCACATGCTCATAAAAGAGACTGATTTAGGAACATAAACATATTACCGTATGCAAACTGTACTGTATACGGTATGTATATGTATATTTAATGTCTTAACTGTGCCTGTTTAAGTATTGAATATTTATACGGAATTTTACCACTGAAGGGAAATCTTAGTGCCTAAGCATAAAAAAATAGGAGCATGCTGCAATGCGTGTGAAGGCCATAAACGATATTAATTTTGGAACTTAAACATGAAAACGTGAAAATTTCTCAAATCTTGTAGTGAGTCCCTCCATGCCTTCCACTCTCCTAGCTTATCCTTTCAAAGTAGAGTATCCCAATCACAAGTGTCAATGGAGAGTTCTCGCAGTAAAGCTCTCCTTGTATGGTCACTGGTGCCACTAGACCAAGAGGGTCAAACAGACTGTTGACAAGACCCCATGGCATGTGAATGGTTTCTCTCCTACAGAGATCCTGAAGGTGAACGTGTCTGACTCTCTTTCCCAACATAGCCCAGGGCCTCTTTGCACTGGCAGAATTTCTTCAGTGAGGTCTAAATCTTTAACGCCTTTAAATAGGTCCTCAGTTGGAAAGGCTTTCATTACTGTGGAAATGCTTGAAGCAATCTTGTGCAGCTTTAGTTTTGACTGTGCCAGGGATGCTTGGGTATGTTTCAGTAAACTAATAGCCTCTGATTCTCTTGGCAGAGATGTGAGACCATCATCCACGTAAAAAATGTCTCTGCACAAACTTACGTGTATCTGATCCATGCCCAGGTTCACCTTCTTCAGCTGTACGTCTCAACCCATTGATAGCGACTGCAGGGGAGGGGCTATTCCCGAAAACATGCAGTCGCATTCGGTACTCGGCTATGTCTTTAGTTATGTAATTGTCTGTGTGCCATATAAACCTCAGGTAGTTCCAGTGGTCTTCCCTCACTACAAAACAGTAGAACATTTGCTCAATGTCTGTGGTTATTGCTACAGGTTCTTTCCTGAAATGGATCAGCACACCAAGCAGAGAATTGCTAAGGTCTGGTCCTGTAAGCAGAACATTATTGAGGGATATGCCACAGTGCCGTGCACTGGAGTCGAACACTACCCTAATCTGTCCGGGCTTCTGAGGATGATACATTCCAAAAATTGGTAGGTATCAGCACTCTTCTCCCTCTTTTAGTGGAGGGTCTGGCTTGATGTTTGTGCCTAAACATCTTTCCCATAAAGGCAGTGAACTGCTCTTTCATCTCTGGTCTTCTGTCTAAGGTGCGCCTCAGAGAGGCAAGGCGGAGAGAGCCAAGGCGGAGAGAGGTTATTGGGGAGAGGCTTGGGAGCTCTGAAGGGTAAAGTAGCAACCCAGCTATTTGTTAATATTTGTGGAATTCCTCTTTTATAATCTTTATAAAGACTTGGTCTTCGAAGGACAGAGCACACTTATTGTCATTTTTGGTTGTCTCAAACACTATACTTCCAAGCACATCATCGGATGCTGTGTTGATATGAGCATTTGCGTTCAATTCTGGGATGTGAGCTGCCACAGACTTTAAGTGAGAGTGGTGAAGTGTTGGCTCTGGTGTTGGTATTTCAGAGCAGTTGTTCAGGATTTCATTCTCACTCCTCTAGTCACAGCCTCAATTTTGAAGCCAACTGCTTTTCTTCCCATCATCTCCATGACTCCAGCACAGGTTTACAGTGAGTAGGGATGGGCTACTTTGAATTTTAAACAGATCAAAGAATTCAGATCTCACCAATGAGCAGTTGCTCTGATCATCCAGAATAGCATACATTTTAACTGAACTTTCACGCTGCCCTCATGGGTACACTTTCACAAGACATATCTTTGAGCATGAACGTGCTTGCAGACCTGGACCATATTCTTCAGTGCACTGGGAGTAGATCGCGGATGAACTACTGAGGTCTTCCTTGTTCTTTGCATAATGCTCAGATTCTTGAGCATCAGGCTTTGATGACCAGGTAGTAGGACTTGGATGCATGGCTGTGCTGTGGCTCTCACTTCCATATTCCTTGCACTTGCACGTTCCTCTATGGGTTAGGCACTGAAACCTCTACATTTTGCTAGGGGATAAGGTTTGTTGTGAATGGGGCAGTGCTTCATGAGATCCTCTTTCTTTGCTGTTTTGTCTGTGCTCGAGTCAATTGTCGTGACAACATCTATTTTGTGTACAGAAATGGGAGTTCTCGGGCTAACGTTTTTGGATATACAGTACGCTTGTCATACCTAACAGGGCCACTAAAGCTCCAAGACAGCACAAAACTTGGGTCATTCCTAGTTCTGGTCTCACTGCAGAACAACCTTGTGAAGAAGGAGAAAGGTGGGTAGCACATATTGTGTTCCTCTTTGTACCTCAAACCTCCAGTGACCACTTTTTCTTGGAAACTGTGAGGCACCTTTTGCACAATTTGATTAATGCCACAAGCTGCATAAAGATAAGCAAGACCGGGTAAATATCCATCCTCTTTTGCAGGCAGCAACTCCATGAGGAGGTCTCAGAGTTCTCTGAGTTTGATATGATCTCTGCTGGATATGCGTGGGAAGTTGACTAGCTTCCTGAATAGAGCACTTCCTATTACCTCTGGAGCAACATAACACTCTGCCAGTCTATCCCAGACCATTTTAAGAGCCGCACCTGGATTGTTTATATGAACAGCCCTGATCCTTCTGACATGTTCAGATGATTCTTTACCTAGCCACTTTGCTAAGAGATCTACCTCCTCAATAGGTGTCAGACTTAAACCCTGGATAGCATTATGGAAGGATGACTGCCATGTCCTGTAGCTCTCAGGCTGGTCATTGAACTTTATCAATCCAGCAGTCACAAGCTCTCTCCGTACTAAATACTTGTCAAAGTCGACAATGTTGGAGGTTTGGGCCTCCTGTGTATGATGCTGACTGTGCTAAAGGGAAGAGTGAAGAGTTCATTGTAAGCCCTGTGCTCTGTGAGAGAGCTGTCTTTTAGAGGAAGGCTTTAATGGAAGAGCTGCAACTAGGCAACCTTGTATGAGAGGTGGATACAATCTGTGCTGACACTTTTGTGACATCCTTTTGGGGCTACTTACTTGCAGAGAATGGGTGTTCATCAGTGTTGCGTGAATGATTAACCTGGGTAACATTATGTTTTGTTGCTAATGATGTTTTCATGTCACCACATGATGATGAGCCAGACTGAAAGGTGTCAGCGTCAAGTGTTTCTTGACTCTGCTTCTGTATGTACCCATCTGTCCTTCTCTTAACAGTTTGGGGTGTGAATGAGCTACAGCGGCTGCCGATCTCCTCACCCTGTACATCTGCTGCTGCCTCTAATATTTCAGCCTGAGCCTACGCAGCAGCGGCCTCCTTCTCTAACTGCAGAGCCTCTAGTCTAGCCTCTTTCATTGTAGCTTTTTCTGTCTCTAGTCTTGCCTTTTCTCTTTTCATAGCCAACTCCTTCTCTGCAAATGATCCTGCAGGTTCAGCTAAGGCTCGAGCTCTGCTGCTGCACTGCTAAGTTGATTACTGAGAGGAGCATGTGTGCCTTGAACTGGTAAAAGACGCTTTATCATCTTCCGTGTTTATAGTGTTGAATGCTACAGTGTATTAAACTGCTTTCTTTGCTCGCTGCATTTGATGGAACACCTGGCTTTTCACTGTACTGTCAGACATTTTTAATGTCTTTCTTTAAAAATCAATTTCTCACATTTTGGCACACCTACAGATGCAGCCATTCAAAATGCACAGTTTGGCTGTCCAAAATGACCGACAGGGGCACTCGTGGTGCATTAGTCGGTAGTGAAAAGATTTAATCATTTAATCTCTTTTCTCTGCACATTTTAATCATAAAAAGAAGAGGAGCATAACACATCAGAAGGTTATAAACTATATTAATTTAGGAACATAAACATATTATGTAAACTGTATATT